CTTGCGGCTTTAATTCATATTTCTGTTGAACTACAATTCAAAAGCGATGTCATGATTTTCATTACATTTTTCTATATTATTACTTTCGTCAAGTTATATCAGTGACGGCTGTTTTTTTCCTTCTTTAATGGGAGGGTATGAGTACATCGAGGACGACTGTACCTCCATTAGTACAGGAGATAGACACGTGGAATTTTAAATGCTGAAAACACATTTAAGTTCTGTCAAAGACTGAACCCAAATCAATTTCACATCCAGTCCAGGTGTCATAATCCCAAATAAAACCCAAACCTTGTATTTGTGCAGCACTTTTTATTTCCTTCGACAGCCAGCTTTGAGCATCAATATCATGGGATGTCGTAGCTTCAACAGCAAACTTGCACCACTTTAATAATAATGACCCAGATCAATAGAAATTGTTGTAGCACATGAAACGTCTCATTGTTACCTGCATTTTGATTCCAGGTTCATCTTCTAGACATTATTCATTCTGAATCAATAATAATATAGAACACCCAGTTTCTGTATTATTCCACTGTGCTAAATGATTAGTTAATCCTATACTTAATAAAATGAAGTTTTACCAGTCACATCCTCAATAGCGAAACTTTGACTTTATTTTGTGCATTGTAACCTGATGATGATTGTGATTTTTTTCACTATTTTCTGACATGAAATTAATCAACACAATCACTGTAATTTCAGTAGTTATTAGTTTGCAGTTTGTCCCTGTGAAGAGATAAATGCCCCTTATCTTAAAGTAGACTAACAGCAACACTTAATTGACATTAACACCCTCTGAAGAGTTTCCATTTGATCTTCAGAATTATGGGCTATATTTCTGAATTTTAAAAAACATCAGTGTAACTGCAGGATCTTTCTCTCAGTCGTTTTTTGTGGTTAACGTCTTCCACAGTCTTTTTCTCTCAGACACACAGAACAACCTTCCACTACATGACTGAACATGTATTTATTTGATCATTTAATGGTTTGATTTCCACAATCTTCATTAAACTGAACACGAAAATACAGTGAAAGCAAAAGTTCATCTTTAAAGAACATTCCCGCTGGTTAAACTGTCAGTACGTTCGTGTACATGTTACAACGAAGGACCTGATAGTTGGGCTGAACATTTGAAATTGTGATTTGAAACAATACAATTGGGCTAAAATTTCAAAATAAAATTCTGCAACTTGTGTGGCCCCGGGTTTACACTGTCACGCCAGTGGTGTTATCTAATCTTGCTGTCCTCCTCGTGTTCAGACAGATATAGTGCTATTGTCCAAATGGGGAAATTCGACAGTGAGTCAGACTGCTGATGACATTTCATGTGGCAATGCTCCATTCAATATCTTCTTACAGAGTCAATATTGAACTGAAGCTTGACTTTAGGAAATTATATTGCAAATTAAATTGCAATATCTGTCACAACAATCATAATCACATATCATTTCATTTTCTTGTTCTTCAACATTTTGCAAAATATCATCTGGAAATCAGAAGCTTCACAACATAGCCCACTGAAAAATGTCTATGTCCTAATTTCACGTGCTGAGCTGCCCCGTTACTTTTTCCCCTCTACCATAATGATGTGGTAACCGAATTTTGTCTTGACAGGAGGGTCTGTGTAGACAGGTTTATCCATAGAACTGACAGGTAGCGCAAAAGCCGCCTCCTGGAACGGTCCAACCATCGATCCTCGTGTCATCCAGCCCAGGTCACCCTGTCACAAACATACAGTGATGAAGGACACATACAGTATCCACCTAATATGGGTGCTAAATCAGAAAACAATGAGGTAACATGACCATCAAAGGCAAAAGGTAACAGCCTCTTTACATATTAAGGATTTCATCAGTGTAAATATGGATGAGACATCCCTGACTCACAACCGAACTTCCACGGAAGTTTTCCAGGAACTGAGAATACACTAGTGCGGGTGTTATTCATCACCCATGAAGACTTGCGATGAGGTTGAGGAGTCCACATTGTACCTATTATGTCATTGTGCTGCCATAGATAAGCCTGCAACTTTGTTCTTTTGATTGTTCTGAATAAATTTCCTTTGCAACAGTGACCTCATCCAAACGACATCATGTGAAAAACATGTGGAATGTAATCATCACCCTTAGGGAATGTGGTAAACCCCAGCTAGGATGATTTCAATCAAGCAGTAAAACAGCCAAAACAGTGAGAACATTTTTTTTTTCTAAAGTAATCAACACAGTACATGTATGGGTTTATGTGCTTACTCCTTGTCTGGCTTTGTCTTCACTGTATTGTGTTGCTACTTCACTGAAACGAACGCCAGACTTCAGTTTCTCCATTGCCTCCATGCATTTCCCATGTTTTTCACAGAGGATATGCCGAACCTGGGAAAAAAAACACATATCAGAAAAGCACAGTTAGACAATAGTTGGGATTCTACCTATAAACAAGTAATATCAGTGTAGTTGCTGTGGTTGGCAAACACAGATAAAGCACCCCAAAGGCAGATTATTATACAAGCTATACTGTATATCTCAAAGCCCATGAATTCCTTAATACATTTTAATATTGATGCTTCCTCCTCTCTTTGATGTAACGTTGATATTGACGCAGACATCGTGCCTGTTTTTCCAGTAATAGTCCACAGATTAAACAAGTTATATTTGTTTATTTCTGAGAGCAAACTTTCTGACTGTAACAACAGTAATATTTAACCTGTTCCTATGGCTGCCAGTTCACATGTTCATCTGTGTCACAAATCACAGAATCATCCACGAGACACTGAACTATATTAGAGATGACAAGATATTGTTTGTAAGCTATAAGACAGAAATGTGCACATGGTCTTAAGTTGTTATTTTACTTCTCATCATGGTGTTTAAGTGCAACAAGATCTACACTCCCTCCCGCTAACTACGCTCGACCAACAAAAACCACTTGATAGAACCACCACAACAGGGCCTGAGGTCGATAGCTAGACTCCTCTGTGGTTCCCCGGTGGTGGAAGGAGTTACCAAACTCTGTTCAATCTGCTGACTCCCTCTCAGTTTTCAAGAAAAGACTAAAGACCCAGCTCTTCACTGATCACATTTGCACTTGACAGACTGAAAACAAACAAACAAAAAAACGGAAAAAAACCCAAAAGAAAATCCTATTACCTCCCACACAGCTTGCTATTGGCATCACCGCACTGTCACACTTAAATTTGTTCTCTGGCACTTATCAAGATTGTTTTCTCCTGACTAGATCCTTGCTTGTGTTGTATCTGCTCTCAGATGTACGTCGCTTCGGATGAAAGCGTCTGCTAAATGAAATTGTAGAACTGTAAAAACTGGTGCTGACTCAACAATCGTGGGAAGTAATAAAATACACACATGTAAGTACAAATCTGAGGTATTTGTACTTGAGCATTTCCAATTTATCCCAATTCACTCTCATACTACACCTCGAGAGGCAAATATTGTGCTTTATAACAACATATATAACAGTAAAACACTGACAGGGAACATTATAATTTGTACTCATGATACTTTTAGTACAATATGCTGACAGTGTATATCGAGGTACGTTGTTGAAGGCTGGTCATTTAGTGCAGTATACTTTAACTGAAGTAAAGGGTCTGGATATCTTTTTCACCTGGTCCACATGTTCAAGTGTTATCTCCTTCCATCTCCTCCTAAAGCCACAGTGAGCTGTGATGAGCTAACACCACTGGCCAGTTCGTCAAAACATTTCCCTGTTCAGTTATCTCTTGATTTCTTTGGGGGCAGCTTTGGCTAAAAATGTAAACATTTACGGTACCTTCACAGAAGTCCCTCCCTTTGGGGCTTTTTCTTTCTTGTCAGCGTCTGCACCTCCTGAGGCAGCTCCTGCACAACAACGAGGTTTAATTAATTAATTAATTAATTAATCCAAACATACAACAACACTGTAATAAAATAATGTTAAAGTGAACTACAATAAGGAAGTGTGTGCTGCTCTTTTGTATGCTAACTTAGATGCTAGTAAATGTGTCTGACTTGTCGCTAATAAATTATGGCATTTAATGAATAGTAAACAACTCATTGGACCACTAACCTTTACCACCTTTGCCACCTTTTCCCTTCGGTGGCATTTTTGATGAGCGTAAACTAAAATGTAAGTAACACTCAGAAAGGAAAGGCTGCACTAACATGCGCTCATGCTATGTTGTGAGAAACATGCGCAGTAAGCTGCGCAGAACGCGACAATGTTTCTTCTTCTTTTGATAATTATTGGTAGATTATAGCCGCTGAACATCCGTACCGCCACCTGGTGTGACGAACACGAAATGTCATTGTGAGTTTATGAAGTAAACCTACAATTTAACCTTCATCCAATCAACATTTGAAGCATAAAATACACTGGAGGAAAAAAAATCTTATTTTAATCTTAAAAAAGTTTCAGGCAATTTCCACATTATTTGAAACCAAAATCAATATTTGAATTTAATATTAATTGCAGCCTTTATCCCAAGTGCAATACACACCATTACTGACAAGCTAAGCTACCATGCTTTGATTCTTCTTTAGTCATTCCGAGTAAACATTATTAGCGTCAATTTCTTGACTAGCTTGCCAATGTTGCCTAAAAAAACAGTTCCTCTTTCCTTGTAATTTGAGAGTTTTCCATATTTTAAGATATACAAACCTACAAATAAAATTCTAAAAATATTCTGTGAATTTCTGTCTAATGCAAAATAACCTCAAAAACCCGGAACTGCGAACAACTATAAAAATCCCCACGTTAGTTTCACAAATATTCCTATTTTATTTTATACAAGAATACCCAAATCAATGTGTAATATTGGACATATATTTCTAAAATTAGGATAAAGTGTCTAGTGTCAGTATTGGTTCTGCAATTTTACATAATTTGTTTGTTTTGTTTTTTGAATAAGGGATATCTTTATCACAACTGAATGGGCTATCTATCTATCTATCTATCTATCTATCTATCTATTTTTACACATGTAAATATAATTACAAAACATTAAACACGAAAAATATACAGGATTCAGTTTATTTTTTTATTTTTTTGTATAATAATATAAAAGGCACAAAGGTTCCCTGAATGTTCGGCAAACAGTAACCTCCAGGGAACGTTTCTTGAAAGTCACTGTTTGCTGGGGAAGGTTGTGAAAGGTGTCCGACAGAAAGGACCAAATCCTCCTATCCGGTGTCACGTCGTCACGTCGTCACTATGGCAACCGCAGCGAACACAAACGGTGCGTAACGCGCAGACAGGTGCGTGGCGCTGCGGCGCTGCTTTACTTATTTATTTACAAAAACACGACCTCGTCCGGACAAAACATGGAGAAGTACGAGAAGGTTCTCCGTTTGGGCAGAGGAGGAGCAGCAGAGGTGTTTCTGATGAGACACGTGGAGCTGAGGAGCCTGTTCGCTGTGAAGAGGATCAAAGTGGAGAAGACCAGGACAGGCACTAGTGAGAGGGCTGTGCTCCAGGAGGCCGAGATCATCAGGAGGCTGCAGCACCCAAACGTTGTGCACTGCAGCGACGCCTTCGTGAACCCCGCAGACGGATTCATCTACATTGTGATGAGTTACTGTGATGGAGGAACGCTGGACGACAAGGTGAAGGAGAGGAAACAGCAGGAGCTCTTCACAGAGGACACAGTGATGGGCTGGTTCGTGCAGGTCGCCGTGGCTGTTTCCTACATACACCAGGCCAGAATACTGCACAGGGACATCAAAACCTCCAATGTGCTGCTGACGAAGCAAGGCGTGGTGAAGTTAGGGGACTTTGGCATATCCAGAGTCATGACCAACACGGCTGACATGGCGTCCACGTGCGTTGGGACGCCCAGCTACCTCAGTCCTGAGCTTTGTCAGGACGTCCCGTACAGCTGCAAGTCTGACATCTGGGCTCTCGGGTGTCTCCTGTATGAGATCTGTGCTCTCAGGCCTCCATTCGTAGCCACAAACCTCCTGAGTCTGTTCTACAAGATCACCAGAGGGGAGTATGATCCTGTGCCAAACACGTTCTCACACAACATTTCCTCTGTGATCGAGGAAATGCTCAGCCTCAATCCAGAAAACAGGCCGACTGCTGCTTGTATACTCAGTGGTGCTTATGTGCAACATCACCTGGAGTCGGTCAAAGAGAGACAGACAGATTTCACTCCTGTGGTTGATATTAACAATGAAGACATTAACAAAAGACTGGGGTCAGATGTTGTCAGTCAGTCACGGGAGGAGAGAAGTGATGCGGAGAAGGAGGAGGATGCTGTGAATGCTGGTGAACAGAGCAGCTGCTACTATCCTGAGGACTTTGAGGAAGATGGAAGTTTTTGCAGTGAACACTCGGGAAGCGAGTCTGTCGGTAATGTAGAAAAGAGAATGGAGAGTCCTAACAGTGACGACAGTAGTGATCCTCCAGAGGGTCAAAGGATAAATGCGAGGCTGAAGGATGATTAATAGGGAAGGAAAGGATTTAAAAAAAAAAGGTCAGATACACAAATATGTGTTCAATTGTAGGACTTTTCTTTAATCTTTGCATTTTTATTGTGAAATATCAAATAGCTTAACACAAAGCCACAATCAAACCATTTAAGAACGATGGTTTAAAGGGGATCATAAGAGATTAAATTCTGCAATCATCTTAGTGTCATCTCTGGGTAACATCCGGCAGCACTGGTGCAGTAGTTCATTCAAAATCCAGATATTATGATTACTTATCTTTTGCTCCTGTATTTCACGTTTCAGACTCCTACACACTCAAAATAACACATGTATTCGTGACAGTTCACCTCTTCGCAACCATCAGATAAGTTTAGCGAGGTAATTCCCCTTTTCCTTGCCAAAGAAAAAGGTTGGGCTTTCAGTAGAATTTTTATCTGAATATGTACAAGACTGATATCATGAGTCATTTGATTGAATGTAGGCAACTTTCTATTGCTGCTTCCTACACAGTAGAAGATAAACTGCCATCCTATTTTTTCACCTCTGAGCTATTCCAGTACACATCTTAGATCTCTGGATGTTTGAGTCAATATAGAATTCATTATTATTTCAGGGATGATAAACACGTAGCTGTGACAGTTCAATGTGTTTACCCTAGTGATGATTTTTTTTAACAGAATGTAAAACAAGAAAATTCCTACAAATGGCAAAACAGATACACACAAATATGACATTCTAGACATCGTAGACAGACAAAAAACCTGAAACGATTAAGTCAAAACATTAAGGCGGACTATTGCTGTAAGGATTCAGTTTTAAAATGTCCTTTATCAAGCAAAAAAGTCAAATATTCTGTGTAAATTGACAATATTTGAAATCTGCACAGTTAGTCGGACAAAACAATTGATTTGAAATGTGACAGCCACTGCTCTCTGCTTCCCAACATCCTATTGTTAGCACCGATTCTTTAGTTGGAAGGCCAAGAACAAACTGGAGAAATTTTCAGTTCACAGATGTAGAATTTATTAAGACACAGGTAAAGTGAGGCAGCGCTGGGCTCCGCGTGACAGAGATCTCTATCAGAAAGAGCCCCGATATTGGAACTGATTCACATTTATCTTCTTGGGCTGGGACTGCCCCGTACAGACATTGGACTAACCGAGGTTAATTGGCCGGTTACTGTGACGTGACCAGGCTAACCACTGTTCAAACTGCTTGGGTCGAAACCAAAGTGTGTGCGTGTGTTGTCCAAAAGGTCTAAAGCAGCTGATAGCATAGGGGAGTTTCCGCTGTCGCCCAGTATGTGAACCAGTTCTCACCGGTCATGTTATCTTCTATCATTGTGCTCAGTAGAAATAAGCAAAACAGGAACATAGTGGAGATATACAGATTCAGAATACATAACAGCTCGAAACATAGCTAATTATAACACTATTGATGAGACGATTAGGAAGTGACTCTAAAAGTTAATGTATCACAGATGATAGAGATACAAACCTACATTTCCAGTAAGAGTTTCATCACATGCCACGAGACTAAAGAGTAAAGGTCATCTTTGGTCTCTGACTAAACCCCTAAAATGATCTGTATCAACATTAAATACTTAAAAGGTTTTTCTAAATATGTGAATTTTGGACTATAGATTGTTTGTGTCACTCAGTTTGTGTCTTTTATCCGATAAAAAATACCATATGGTCATGGTAACAAGGACAAAATATGATCTTCACTAGAGGGAGTCTCGAATGAACTAATCATTTTCTGTCTCACAGTGTTTCCAGAAGCTTCGGAACAAGTTGAATATCCGGATGACTTTGAAGAAGACGAGGAAAAGGAAGACCACGATGCAGACTTTGTCCACACTGCAGCTCCTCAGCAGCCACACGACGACACGCTGGTGGAGGAATTTCAGCTCTGCGATGCCGGAGGACTGACCATCACGCTGAAAGCCTGGAAGGAAAAGGGCTGAAAGCTTCCTTTAAAAAACCAAAAAACAAAACGTGCATCGTTATCGATGTTAAATAAAGGGACCTTAATGCTCTGAAGTATTTTTCAAGTATGTTGTTTGGTTTGGCGTTTTTAAAACGACACTGGTCCTGATAAAGGTCGAACACATCTGCTGCCAAAGTTTGAGCAAAAATAATAATAATGGATTTAGCACATTTAGTCAGTTGGTTTGCTGCTGGGTGATGTTCAGGACACTTGGTGGGGTCAAAGAGAACGAACAGTCGAGAATATTCCTCAGTGATTGGGGGCATAAGAAGAGCAGGTAAAGATAAGAACAACACAAGTCACTTTGATTGTTTTATAAAATCTGAAATCATTTTGATTAAGCGTGTAGAATTAGTTTGAGTTTAAAGATAAGATAAAAGCATCAGCATTAGTACAAAATTTCTATATTTATTACACGCCTCAGTGCTACAATACGCATTCTGTTCAGTCAACTTTCCTTTTTCGTGTGATATTAAACACTATGTGGAATGAATCGGCTCTTTTATCAGGCTTTGGTCTTGAGGGAGGAAGTATGTGGTGTCGGCAGCTGACCACACTCTCAGATTACACCTAATAATGCAACTAAAAGCAAGATAAAAACAAAGAGTAAGACACATTTTCAGAACTGAGATTAAAACAGAAACTGGACTGTCACTGTTGTGGAAATCTGTAAGACCAACACTGGATGCATCAGTAAACAAAGGAGATGATTAAGTCTGACCTCAAAAGTAGATATTCTAGAGGCACACATTGATACTGTCTTTATCTCTTTCTATCACACAGATACACACGAGTACATTTAATATGTATTAAAACTTGAAGCCAAGAGATGTTTTAGTTTCTTTCACATTTAGTACATTTATTTATGCAATATTCATGCATTTTTAGAAACAGCTTCATCGTTGTTGTGGGAAACATCAGCACCAGGTACAGTTTATCAATAATCCTCAGTGTTCAGTTGGTTACAAGTAATCTGATCGGATTTCATCTTTAGGACTGACTTGAAAATGAGTCTTTTAAAAGAAAAACAAACTCAGAAATTGCATCGGAAATGAAGAACTCTGAATGATTTTTTTTGTTGTTTAGCTATTTTACAATTTTATGATTTAAAAAACATATATATCCATAATTTATTTGTGAAAAATGCACATTTGTTTGTTCCTATTTATATGTTGTAAGTTAGATAAGGGGTCCGAACTTGAAAAAGGATGGGGATGTGCTGTTTTCATACCTAAATAGACCCTATGCTGGCTATTCTGCATGTTGTTCCTTGCAGAGCTGGTTGTCTACATCAGAACACATTCAGGGCATTTACTGATGTGGAATTGGTTGTCTTGAAAGGTTTGGATGTGGATCAGTGTCATTCAGTCTTTGCTTTGAAAACCTGTCACAAAAATACAGTGGATTACCTGATCCTGGATATTAAAACACAGGATTTCCAAATCTGGATCATTCTGATCAAAGTTAGACTTCAAGAACTGGAAGGGTTTTAAGAGTCCAGATGAATGGAGAAAAAGTCAACCATCAGTGGACACTCTTCCTTTGGTGGTCTGGGCCTTATGAGCAGTGAGAGGGATGCACCCAGGAATCTCAACATTTCCTCTTGTCGGTTTCGTTAAGAACACCTGCTGAACTTCTGCTGACACTTACTTGTGGCTTCAGGTCATGCAAAGGCACCTTTGGGGACTTTGGGAAAACTGTGACTGGAGATACTGGAGAGATGAACATTTGGCCTCATCTCTTGTTTGAGTATGTTAAAGGGCTCGGTGCTGTTTTAGGTCTTTGCCCAGTGTTTCAGCTAATAACGACAGTGGAAAAGTCAGAACCGAGTCTTCAGCTCACCTATTTTAATCTTCTGTCCTGACTGCCGTTTCACAAACTGTACTTCACCATCGTCACAGAATCTTGCAGTTGCTTGTAATTCACCAGTCTGCATAACATCCCATTGTGTCTCTCAGCAACTTTCAACTGCAACACAAATCCATAATATATGTATATATAGGAAGACAGGAAAGCAGGGAGAACAGTGAACCCATGACCGCTGCATCAGGGACTTTAGCCCATTTTATGGGTCGCCTGCTGATAGAGAAATATTGAGAGTTGTTTTTCTGTTTCTCCATGTAGCTTATTTGTTGAGAATGTGAAGGAGTTCTTCGAGAGATGCGGTACTGACGCGAGAAGTTACACTCTTACCACAGAGAGCTACATCTCTATGATGGATGAAAGAGACACTAATCATGCAGTCCTATGCAAGATGAAACCGAAACTCAAAACAATCCTCCCATGATAAGAAAATAGCAAAGTGTCCAGAACAGAGAGAACTTGCCCCTCCATAGGGAGCGTGATCAGTAGAATATAGATACTAAGACGCCTTTTGCTCGGGGAGCTCCTCTCTCATAACCCTGTGTTGTGTGAGATTCTGTGCACTGCTGAATAAAGAGACGCTGACTTCAACCTCCTCGTTTTGAGATTCTTTTTCACCCACACCTGCTCGACCTGCTACCGGGGTGCCCACTGTGATTTGTACAAAGGTGCCTCAGTTGGCAAACTTTGTCAATCACTGGTTTGGGAGGTTTTGTGGTCATTATGTCCAGTTTGTCCTCACATTTGTCCCAAGTTGAGAGAAGGAACTTCAGGAACAACTGGCATTCTGGATTGCACAACCGAATCTGAATCTCTCTCTGGTGGCATTTCTTTGAACATTTTCTTTGCCTACATTCTGACCTTTTCCATTCCCCCCTAAATGTGTTCTTTCTAACAGGTGTTCTTAAAGTCTCACAATTCTCACAAGCTAGAACTAAAGAACAAAAATTATCTTGCAACTTTAACTTGCATCACTGCTTGAACACCACAGTTGCTTCCTCTCCATATGGATGATCTCTTTGCTCTGGAGCAGCTCGACTAAATTGTTTCTGCAATCACAAACGGAGCTCAAACGGGAGAAAAAACGATTTAAAATCTACCTGTAGGAGAGCTGTGTGCCAGATCTGTGCGCAGTTTCTTTATTTTTATTATTTTTATTGTTATTTTAACTATTTTAGAGTCCAATATCTCACCTGATATCTTTAAACTCCACATGAACGATCATTGGAACTGTTCCAGGTAAACTCTTCTGCTACCTGGGACCTCTGAAGCCCTTTTCAGACATGAAATATGCAACATTTCTGCCTTCATCAATCTGGGAAAGTGACAACATTCTGCTAACCTTTACATCAATGTTTCAGACATACCCGCCACTGGAACTGAGAGAGCCACGGTACGCATACGATTTTTGTACGATATTTACGGAACCTGGAACGGTACACCAAGTGATGCATATCAGATGATAATGCAATAACAAGCTGTGACGAAGGACGACAGGATCAGGGAGGTTTAATAGACAGCTAAACAGTTAGCCAATCAGAGGCCACTATGCACTCTCATTCTCTGTTCAGAAAAGCTTCAGAGGAGCGTACTGGTGAAGACTGTTGGTGTTATATGTAGTTTTGGTGAGTTGGCTGTGTTCCTTTTGTTGTTCAGTGTGCGTACAGTCCTCAAGTAAGTGAATGTTGTTTGTGTAGTTTCACTGTAATGTCATTAAATAGTGTGGTAGTTGACTCTTGGTTTATTAACACACAAATACCTACAATTTTGTGTCTAAATAAAAGAGCAAACGTAACATCCTGTATTGTACTGCATTGTAACCGACGCCCCCTGGTGGCCATGACTTTCTTACGGGCGAAGAAAAGTATGCAGTCCTTCTATTCTATAACAAAGCAAAAGACTAAATCTAAACTTATGGCAAACTAATCAACCTGGACAAATAACCAACATGTCCTAAACACTAAAAAATCAGTGATGATAACCGTAGAAAGACAAACAGCTGGAACCAACAAACTGAACCGCAACTTCCGTTTTTTCAAAATATTCATTATTGGTGAATATCATTAACTGGGATGTTATTCACTGTTTTCCTCGCGGTACAGTTTCACTTTTGTAAAAGTTTTAGTTTATTGCCTAATAGATGTGAAATAACAGAAATGAAGTGATAAAGCTGTTTTGATTTTGGCAGCAAACTGTGTCTTTTGATGTCTGTGATGCTTTTAGACCAATACTGATGATGAATGTGGCTTTACACAACACGAAGTACTGGCGTGCACATTTGTTCGTGTGATTACTTGCAGTTCGGACTTGTGCCATGTTGTAAGTAATACAGGAACGTTGTTAGTTCCCACGGAGTGAGATTGCAGTTGTGACTTATACGGAAAAGCTTTCAGATTAAGAGGAAAGCGTGCATGTCTGAAAGGGGCTTATGTCCCACAGGAAGGTTGTCATGTGAGTCCAACGCACAGCTGTGCACAGTTAAACCTGTAATAATCACAATTCTGAGACACAATCAAGTCAGGAGCCTCATCTGGGGCTTCCGATTTATGTCCTGGAAATCTCTGAGACCGCCACTGGATGCATCAGTAAACACATGAAACCATCAAAATGCTACTTCTTATGTTAAAGTGATACAAACAGCATATCCTTGTGTGATAATCATTTCAAGTGAAGGGCTAGTACAAAACATTGGTGCCCTCAAGGGATAAACAAAGCACAGATAAAACCCAAAGAGGTAAGGGAAAGCAAGCCAGAAATGCTAAGGCTACGGAAGCTGACGAGGGACAAACTACCCAGACTCGTTACAGGTTGAAATATGAAAATTTGGGTTTTTATTTACTCTTTGGTAACCTTCATTTTAATTTAACAAAAAATAAAATACAGTTACTCTGTGGGGAACTGAGGAGCACTGAAATTTCCGTTGAGAGATAATTGAAATATAAAGGAGGAAACTGTTATTGTTCAAGATAACCGAAGACGCACTGAAAATGTGAACAAATGCTACTTGAGTTAACCCAGGAAGTAAATATAGCAACTCAGGATGTCAGTGTGTAAGACAGGTCATTTATATGTCTGACCAAGTTTCACTAGCAGGTCACAGTTTCTCGACGAGAG